TCTCCTTCTTGCATACGACAAGAATTATACTTATGCAAGAGTAGTTGGATATTAACTTCAGAAGCAGTGTCGTATTTTTCTTTTATTGCATTACACATGTCCATGGAAGTTTTATAAGTTTCAAAAACTTTGATTAAATTATCTTCCATGAACATGAGCATAAGACTTTTCGCCTTTTTATCTTTCGACTTCCACTGTTCAACCCTTTCTTTTCTTCAGGTGTAGATTTATCAGTAAGGGTTGGAGCAGTGGTTTCGATTATATCATCAATGTTGTCATGAATAAGAGCATATCCTATTTTTTTATGTCACATATCATAATTACTGTCATTAAATTTATCAATTTTGCCTAGTTCTGATAGAACGAGTTTACTAGCCATTCGGTAAAGAACTAAAACTAAATTAATTTTAAAAATTTGTATAAGGTTGATATTTTAACAATAATACTAAATAATAATAAAGTTAAAAAAATAAATTAATTAAATGAACCTGATTGTTCCGAGTTGATGAAAGAGGCTCCAATTAAAGCGAGGCCGTCACTTAGAGGTGTTGACCGAAGAATCTGTTGTCGAAGTTTCGACGTCGTTGCTGACTGGATTGGAGATTATCAACTTGGAACAGCCGGGCCAGCAAATAGCACTAGACACCCAAGGCCCAACTAGAAGGCCCAACAATTTTGTTTCTAAAATCCAACTTGGATTGGGTGTGGCAACATAAACACTCAAGGCTTTGAGAAATAAAAATGGGTTGTTTACTAGTCACTCAAGGCTTTTCGGATCTGAGCAGAAGGATTAACTAGGCCCAATTAATAAGCTAGCAAATAGTCGGGAGACTAGTGACCAATAGGGTTGAGCTGGCTATGGGAAAAAAAACTAGTTGCACAGTACTAGGGTAGGCTATGAACAATGGCTATATAAAAAAAAACAAGCTACAGTGGACAAAAGAGAGTAGGTTGTCTTTTAACCGAAAGATAATAGGGTAGGCTTCCTTCTCTTCTTCAAAATTGTCGCTGCTAGTTCTTCTTTTTCAACCCAACTTTTCTTCTTCTTCAACAATGGTCTCGGTTTCTCTCTCTTCTCAAAAAAAATTTTTCAATCTTGAGCTCAACTGATGGCCTCCGATCTCCTTCAGTCGTCGACGTCGCAGCTCTCGTCGTCGCAGCTCTGGCTCTGATACCAGTGAACGAAAACAGAGAAGAAGGAAGAACAAATTTTGAGGGGGGTTCCGCTAATGGGTAAGAGGTTTTTCACCTTCTTTTGTTGTGATTTCTCAATGAGAATTACTCCTCCATTTATAGGGGCTGAACCCACTAACTCCACCCCCCAAGATCCGCCCCAATGAGAGATTTTCTCTCAACAAACCTTCCACGATCCACAATTCTCTCTACTGAGAATCGTTGATTTGGTCACCATGACCGAGTCTAGCTAACATGACCGAGAGGTTTGAAGAACTAAGAATTTTGTTTTTACCTAAAAGTTCTCTAACTTGACCTGTCTATGCCTAAACCGAGCAAATCGACTCGAACTATACAAAGCTGTACCTATCTGGTTCTGTTCAATTTGAAAAAAAAGTCAAAACTGACCGACTCGACCGTTTACATACCCATATCTACAATATACGATTAGAGTTAGATATAAACTAGATCTGCAGTCCATAGTTTAATTTGATGATCAATTATTTCTAGAACATTAATTTCATTTTTTTCGACTAAGAGATTTTTTTTCTCCTTCCAATGACGAGATCTTGTATGTATTATGAACCGCGCCAATTTACAGTTCTTCAAACCTCAACTATATTCTTATATTGCATTTTTGCTACTTGTATATAATCAAGTGAAATTGGCAATCAACTTTAATTTAGTGTGACGTACATAAGATTGTATACATTTGTCATACTCATCAACATTTCCAATAACGACAATGCATATTTAAAATAAAGCTGTGAATATATATATACTAGTTGAGATGCACGTGCAATGCACGTGATTAAATATCATGAGTTGAGATTCACTTGATATTAACGTGGTTGAATAGCATGATTGTTTAAATTGATAAAAATAAAGTAAAAATAAAAAAAGAAAATAAAGTTTTATGTGGGATTGATCATCAACTCAATAATCTCTCTCTCAAATAAAATATTATCATTGTTTCCTTCAACCCAGAGTGTGATTACGTGATCTACTATTTATAAGTTATAAACACATTAATTTAGTACAATATCTCTATTTATTAGTATCTTGAAGTCTTCAAAAGATGGGTGCTCATTCAATTCGTAAAAAAAATTTACATATGAATTTACTTACAATATATCTATTAAACTTTTAGTTGTGATTTGACTCATATTCATGTTAACTTTTAGTTGATGTTTTACTCATATTTATATTATCTAATATTCTTATTCAATTTTATAGCTCATTCTTTGTATCATAGAAGTAAAACTGAAAGTATAAAGAATATATTTTCTTATGAAATTAGAACAGGGAGATTATGATATATTTCGTCATGTTCTCTAAACATAAAAATTTCTTTTTTCTTTGATGCAAGGTCCCTTTCAAATATTACCCCAAACGATGTGAATGAAAAATATTATTATAACTCATTTGCCTAGGACAATTGTATTATATATAGGATACATAACTCATCTAAAATATCCATATCTCCTAAGTGGATTTTACTGTTGTGAGAGCAACATATTAGATGCTCATATTCAAACTTGTTGGCTCTATAAAAGACACAAGATTTTAGAGTGCATAGCTTATATATCGTAAAAAGCATATCGATTCATGAAGAATTTTTTCTAATAATGATATTATTACAATGATATTACTGTTCATTATTAAATCAATTTTATTATATAAGATTATATGGCCCTTTTTAATAAATTATAAAGTATATATATAGAAACTTCGATGCTTATAGCCAATAGTTGGGCTCCACAAAATATGTTAGCATTGTAGTTTGCTATTTGTAGTACTGTTTACAATGCCATTACCTTTACTTTTTATCTTATTATTCACACTTTTTGATGTAAGTTCTCCTTTGCAAAACATTCAATTTGCTATATTTAATTTTTATAATATTAGAGATTAGAATGTTCTCTTCAATTTAAAAAGTGTTGACATGATTTTCTTAAAAAATATATACACATAGTAACAATAGTATATACTTCAGTGAAACTCAAATATTAGCTTGAAGCCATTTAGAGTGAAGTCCTTTCGATGCTAGAATGGTGATATAGTAATTACACAATCTAAAAGTCAAAGAAGAAATTTCTACAAATGAAAAGTAATTTAATATGTCAAATTAAGAACTAATTTATAAAATTTACATGAGCAATGCAGATAGCTACAGAAAGTAAGGTATATATTTTCATAAAACTTTTATAGTGAGTTGTAACACCCCAAAAATTTTGAAAATATTATTATAAATGATAATAAATGAGTTTTATTACAAGTTGTGA